TTCAAACTGTAAGAACTCAAAATCCTAACTCGAGGCTTCAGCTGCCGATATCTTGAACCGAGCCACTCGTAACAACTCCACGTACGTCCGAGTTGAACATTTGAGCCCCATATCGGAAACCCATCTCTCGTCGTTCATTTTTCTCCCAGCCAATTGGGCTAATTTGGGTCGATCCCATGTGATTGTCGCTCCGGGTTTAAGTGTCCTCAATGAGCAGCCATCGGGCCCCGCTAGTCGCGTTGTCTCAAGTCGAGTTCTTTGTGATATCTGCTCGCCTCCACGAGCCCCTTTCGCCAGCGTCCTCGAGCCCCTCCGTCAACCAAGCCCAGCCGAGCCCGCGACGACCGAGTATCAGCAACCGCCCTAGGAGTTTGAACTGAGAAAACGTATGGCTAACCAACTTCTGTCGACACTCTACTTTTCCGACGAGGAACCACAACCGCGGGTAGCAGCCACTTGCAGAGTCCAAACCGATTGCTGTTGAACGCGAGAAACAGCAGACCGAGCCACCTACGAGTCGAGCCATCACCCCGAGTTTGTTGATCCGTTAACCGTTAACAGTCAGTTCCCAGACCTCCGTCACCGTCGGAGATGCAACCCCGTTGAAGAAAGCCGTGAGCCACTACAGCCTTAATGTCGGCGACCGATATCCAGCCATCTCCGCCGCCGACACCCCGCAATCAGCCACGCCCTGAACCACCACAAGTATCGGGCCTCGCCGTGCACAACCGCGGCCAGCCAACATTGCACGAGTAATCGAGATCCTCGGCCAAGACGTTCATCCAACAACGAGGAATCTTCTGTCCGTGAATCACCAAGCACCATCCGCGTGAAGAAGAGGAGAAATTTTTGAGAATTTAGGCCATCTCCAACCGAAAATCCCATACTCAAACCCATTTTGCAGTAATGTCACATTTTGCAGTAATTTATCTCCAACTGAAAACCCCATTTTCAAACCGAAAAGAATATTCTCGAAATATTTTCTTTCACATTAACTTTAACAATTTTTCAATACTACCCACATATTTTACAACTTTACAAATTAAATCACACCATTAATATTGTTTGTAGATTTTTTTCTTTTAAAAATATACTAATATATAATAATAATAATAAATAAAACAATATTTAACTTGACAATAATTACTAATACTAAATATAATATATACACATTACATAAAATATTAATACATATTATATTATAGAAAAATTATATTATTTCAATTTATTATAATTTTTTAAATTAAAATGTTGATACTTGATACATATATTTTAATGCCAGAACATTAGTTTACTTCCAGACTTCCACTTCCCGCATTCCACATACAAATTTCTTTTTTTTTTGTTTTTTTTTTACTTTTTTAACCCTTTGTGTAATTAAAATTAAAAAGAGGATTGAATTGAAAATATAGAAGTACATACGCATTTTTTTTGCAGGAACGCAAATTTGCGTCAAAATCAGGAGAGAGAAACTCAAAAACTCATTTTGAGTTTGAGTTCGCAGTACCATTGGAGAGATTTTCCCCCCAATTTTTACGTTTTGCCGCTCGGTTGGAGACGGTCTTAGTGCCGCAAAATTTGGGGATCCGCTATCTGCGTGAAGAAGAGAATGCGAGAATAAAAGAAAGGGTAAAATACTTTTTCCCCATCCGAACTATCACGGTTTTGGCGCATCACCATATAAACTATTTTATTTAACAAACCACTATATGAATTATACGGGTTTGTCAATGTGCCCCCTAAACCAGATATAAAAGTTGTTTTGACTGAAAAAGCTGTTTGGCCACCATATGTGCCCCTAAATAATTTTACAAACCACCATATGAACTATCACAGGTTTGTCAATGTGCCCCCTAAACCATTTTTATATCTGGTTTAGGGGCCATATTGACAAAGCCGTATAGTTCATATGGTGGTTTGTAAAAAAAAACTAGTTTATGTGGTGATGCGACAAAACCGTGATAGTTCGGATGGGAAAAAATATTTCGCCCTAAAAAAATGGAGAAGAAGGGAAATAGAGAAAAGGAAAAGAAAAAGGGGGAAATAAGCGGAAAGTGAAAAAGAAAAAGAAAAATTGGAAAAATGATTTTTCTTTTGGGCTTTAATGTTAAAATTGGACCTTTGGGATTAAATTTGGGCTACAAGTGAATTTTTTTGAGATCAAAGGAAAGCAAATAGAAATGAACCCCGTCAAAAGCACGACCAAGACGCCGCCCGGGAGCCTTGCCGTTCATCTCATTTGAGTTCTCGTGATATCTCCTTGGAGTACAGTAATGGGTGGCTTACTCTGGACCTATTTTGATGTGTATATGTATACATGTGCTGCCTTAGTGAATATATATGATTTGTGGAATTATGTGTTTATATAATTATGCTGAATTGTGGTCGTCCATGTTGAAACCGAAGGACATATGTGAAATTTGTGCAAATCCTGGAGTTACACAGGTACTTTAAAGTGTCCTTGGTCTGTTGGTGAAGACCTTGTGTCGTTTTGATATATATATACATATA